CGAGGCGGCCACAGGGGCGGGGGAAACCCTGAGATCCCAGAGCTCCGACGACCCCCAAAAAAATGGGAGCGGCGAGCTTGGGGCTGCTTTCGGCCTCACGGGGGGCCCTCGCCGGGGCCTCGGGGTCGCCAGGAAACGACGCGGGACGAAGAGCCAGCCCGAGGGAAGTGGTTCAGAGCTCGTGGGGCACGCGCACGAAACAATTGGGGCGGCCCGATGCCTGGGATCCTGGCGTTGCAGCTTTTCGAGCCGGGCGCTTTCGCGTTTTTCCGGGCCCAGGGGCCCTCACAGATCGATCCGGCTCGAGGAATGACGCAGAAAGATGCGGTCTAGGGCTCCTGGCGCGATTGTCTACGATGTTGTACTTTTTTTCGCTACGCTGGATCTCAGGGAGGGGGTGGGGGCGACGGCGGCGAGGCTGGGGCTGGAGCGATGGGCTGGAGCGAGGGCGGCGGCAACCACGAAGGTGGCGACGGCGACGACGGCTGCGAGTTCGACGGCATGGCATGGAGCGGGGGGGGCGGAGGAGGCAGCAGGAGGAGAGGTTTCTGGTGGCGGCGAGCACCGCGTGTATTTTGCTCGAGCGCTACCCAGCCTGAGGGTGCGCGTGCGCTTAGAGGAAGCCGAGCATTTGCCAACAGGGGGTGGACGTTCGGCTCTTGCTGGCAGAGCAGACTGTGGACACTCTGCAAGGAGGCAGTGCCCCTGGTAGGGCCGAAGGGCCGGGAGGCACATGCGCGGGACGAACAAACGGATTGCTGTGCTCACTCCTGCAGAGGTGAGCCAGGGGGGAGTTCTGCCTCAAGAACGATGGACTACTCTGAGCGACGTATGGCAGTGTTGGCCAGCTGGCCAGCGAGGGCATGACGGTGGTCTGCAATTCCTTGCATGCAGACGACTCGCAAGCACATGTGCTGAAAGGCTGGGAAGCAAGCAGCCGTGTGGGACGAGGAAAAGGAAAGCGAGCCCACCTCGCTGCGCGATTTGTCCTGCCGAGCGGGGCAACAACTGCGTTGACCGCCACGTCTCCGCCGCATGCCGCGGACTCTGATGGCAAGCTACGCGCTAACCTGGAGGTCTCCGGAGCCCTTTCGGAGATCTCCTCCTGCTTCTTACGCTGCACGGACTGACGCAACCGAGCTGTGTCGTTTAAGCAGCAAACATGTGAGACCGACTTAGACGATGTGGCACGCAAGATAAAGAACTACGTGAGCGCAGCGAGTGAGAAGTAAGGTGAAAAAAATGTAGATGCATAGTAGCCCGCAAGGGCGCGAGTAGGCGCTCAACAGGTCGAGGGATGATCGCACGAGGAATAACGAATACCAGAATCGATCAAAGTATCATGCAGGGAGGGTTCCGAAGGAGGGTCCTCCTCCTCCTCCTCCTCCTCCTCCTCCTCCTCCTCCTCCTCCTCCTCCTCCTCCTCCTCCTCCTCCTCCTCCCTACTCCTCCTCCTCCTCCTCATCATCATCCTCCTCCTCCTTCTCCTCCTCCTCCTTCCCCCACCTTTTGACGCTGAGCGGAACAAAATCCAACTTGGGCGAAGTGGCACGCCAAAAACGGCCTTAGCACGCCGCGGTGGGAAGACAGACTCCGAGACAATGAAAAGTACCTCAGCCCGCTGGGGCGCAAAGTATGCGTGCAGAGGTCTGTGGGGAGTTGGTGGAGGGGACACTGACCCGCAGGAAACGGAACAGAGAAAGAGAGAGAACAAAAAAATGACAATCCTCCTCCTCCTCTCCTCCTCCTCCCTCCTCCTCCCTCCTCCTCCCTCCTCCTCCTCCTCCTCCTCCTCCTCCTCCTCCTCCTCCTCCTCCTCCTCCTCCTCCTCCTCCTCCTCCTCCTCCTCCTCCTCCTCCTATTTTCCACCTCCTCTCCTCCTCCTCTCCTCCTCCTCCTCCTCCTCCTCCTCCTCCTCCTCCTCCTCCTCCTCCTCCTCCTCCATTCTCCTTCATTCTCCTCCTCCTCCTCCTCCTCCTCCTCCTCCTCCTGCTCCTCCTGCTCCTCCTCCTCCTCTCCCTCCTCCTCCTCCTGCTTCTTTCCCCCCCACCCACCCCGGCCCTCGGTCGCCTCGGCTCTGGAGTCGCGGGCCCCCCTCTCGCTGCCGGACGGCGCGTCGGTGTCGGTCGATGGCGACCTTCCGTCGTCCTCGGCGAGGGGGAAAGGGCAAGAAAACGGCGGAGGAGGAGCAGGACGAGGAGGAGGAGGAGGAAGAAGATGATGAGGGGCAACAACAAGGGGGAAACGGCACACGAGGACGAACATCGACCTGGAATCGGCGATACACCGCCGACAGATCGGCGATGGGCCCCCGACAGCGAAACCGCACGTTCCTGGGCGGGGTGGGCCATCGGGCCCCTATCGGCGAGCAATAGGCGATTGGGAGTCGACGCGTCCCGCCTGGAGCCTGTCCCCCCTTGTCGTTGCCCCTGGGGAAACCTGAGACGCGGGAGCTGCAGCTTTTCACAATGGGCGCTTTCACACGGTGTCGGCCCCTGGGACCCTCACAGATCAGCCCGGCTCGAGGCCTGCAGCAGCAAGATGAGGTCTGGGCCTCTGGTCGTGACTTCTCACGATGCTTCATTTTTCCCCCGACGTCGGAAATCAGTGAGGAAGGAGGAGGAGCAGGAGGAGGAGGAGGGGGACGAGGAGGAGGAGGAGGAGGAGGAGGAGGAGGAGGAGGAGGAGGAGGAGGAGGGGGAGGAGGAGGAGGAGGAGGAGGAGGAGGAGGAGGAGGAGGAGGAGGAGGGCCCAGACGCTGAAGACTTGAAAGGTACCCAAGCTCATCTTTGGAGATGAGAATTACTGGGCACTGCGCAGCTTCTCTGCCATGGAGCCGCGGGGAGCGAAGTGGACATTCGCCTATCCGACAGTAGGCCACATCCATACGTAAAGTCACTAATTTGTCCGCAACCCGTGGGACATCTATATATGGCCGATTTCGGGAACCCTGAAACCAAGAACGTTTTCATCTGTTGGGGACACATATTTCACTTCCGCCGCCTTCCGCCGAGCTTCCGTTGGATTCCGCTGGCGGAGGCGGCCTCGTTTTACTTCCGCCGACCTTCCGCCGACCTTCCGCCGGCTTCCGCCGCGGAAGAGATGACAACTCCTTCGATCCTCGAAGGCAAGGCCCGTTTTGGAACGCCCAACATGGGGAGAAGGGTATCGATGGCCCCAGTAGTGTGCTACGGCCACACATCGAGCACGTCCTCAGCAGTGCTGAACTTGTCCCTGGGCAGGTGTATCCACAGATCCCACAAGATGGATTCGATCATACCTCGAGATGGTCCTGGGGATGAAGCTCACAAACGATTCACATGGTGGAGCGGCTCCCACCATCGGTCGCGACGCACGAGCCCCACAGCTGCCTGCAGAGCTCGGCGTCTGGCTCCCCGCTAGGCTGGTGAGGGGCGGGGAGTGCGAGTGGGCAACGGTCGGCGCCGCATGCGGAGAACGTGAGGATGAGAAGGGGGCATGGTCTGTAGAGCGCGAGGACAGTCCACAAGGCAGTGCGCACGCCACGAGGAGGAAACAGACAGACCAGGCAAGACGAGACAGGAGCGATTGCCAAAAGGGCACCAGACTCATCGAGCATAGAGGGCGGGGACAGATTGCTGTAAAGCTAACTGGCTGGAACGGACAGCTGGAAGACCACAGGGTCTGAACAGGCATCCTGAAAAGTGGAAAAAAAGGAGGAGGGCGCACGGCGGCAACCCTGCCCAGCACGCTGGCACAGCGGGTCCCCACGTCACACTGCGCGTGCACGAGGTGATGAAGGCCCGTGTGGGGACTCTTCGGGCCAAGGGTACAGCCCTGGCCACCACCCCGGCCGTGCCTGAGGTGGCGAGCCACGCTCGGGGGTTCTTCGAGCCGAGGGGCCCGCCCGAGCAGCCTCCCTGGCCCGTCGCCCCGAAGACGACGCCCCGGCAGCAGATGCGTGGCACCGCGTGCCCCCCGTGCCGCTGCACGTGCGCCTGGGCCAGTGGCGCAGACGGGCGGGGGCCTCCTGGGGCCAAGGGGAACGACCCGAGCAGCCCCCCTGGTCGCGCACAGGGTGGCGAGGCCCCCTCTGGGGGGTCTGCGCGCCGAGGGCCCAGCCCTGCCCACCCCACTGGCCAGCGCCACGCGTGGCAAGACCCCAGCGACAGAAAAGCAGCCACCGCGCATCCCAACCTCACTCTGCGCGCGCATGGGGCCCACTGCGTGAAACAAAGAAATTGCTCAACGGATCTCCAACGCCACACGAGCCAACCTGAAATAGGCGAGCCTGAGCGATGTTTCGTGGCAGACTCAGATCACTGGCTACTCGAACAAATCGCGCCAGAAATTGTTCACCAATTTCGGCATCTAGGAGCGGTGTCCGACACTCGGGGCTGTGAAAAAAACGACTGGAGATGAAGAATCCGACCAATGGAAGAGGTCAAGAGCTCAAGCGGCTGGCGACAAAAAACCTCGAGCGGGAGCTCCTCCTCCTCCCCCCCCTCCTCCCCCTCCTCCTCCTCCTCCTCCTCCTCCTCCTCCTCCTCCTCCAACACCTCCTCATCATCATCCATTCTTCCTCCTCCTCCTCCTCCTCCTCCTCCTCCTCCTGCTCCTCTTCCAGCTCCTCCTCCTCCTCCTCCTCCTCCTCCTCATCCTCATCATCATCATCATCATCATCATCATCATCATCATCATCATCATCATCATCAGCAGCAGCAGCATCATCATCATCATCATCATCATCATCATCATCATCATCATCATCAGCATCATCAGCATCATCATCATCATCATCATCATCATCATCATCATCACTACCACCATTATGATCGACATCAGCATCATCACCGTCATCAGCATCATCATCACCATCACCGTCACCATCACAATCATCATCAGCATCATCATCATGGCAGCAGCATCATCCTCAACATCATCAGCATCAGCATCATCGTCAGCATCAGCATCAGCATCAGCATCATCATCGGCATCAGCATCATCATCATCAGCATAAG